TTCATCCATGAAGCAATTAACTGCTAAACTCAAGGCCCAGTGACTCTTGATCCTCTCTGGGACCTGAACTTGGTATTTTCTTTTTTTTAAAAAAAAATTTTTTACTTCTTTCTTTCTATGTATATGGATGTTTTGCCTTCCGGTATGGCTGTGTATGACGTCCGTGCAGTGCCCACACTGCAGGGTGCCGGGTCCTCGAGGGCCCGTGTTTCTCCCTCATGCAAGTGTCCACCTCCTTCCCAATTTCATCTGCCCCTATTTCTTGTGTTCACATCCCCTGTGATTCAGCTTTAGTTTGGAACTTTGGGTCAGAACAATAGATTGATCCTAGCTGTTTTAATGAGCCTCCGTCCATCTTCCTCCCTGACCTACACTTGACTCCTCGGCTACTTGACCTTATAGGGTAATAGACATATGGCTTAGATACCTGATGACTGTAGTCACGGCAAAGCTAACTGAGCAACCAACTTCCTTGGTGGCGCTGGAAATGGCTAGACTTCCCCTCAGGCTTTGGTCACTTGGAGGTCAGAAATAAGGCTCATCTGGGCCAGGAGTAGGCCACTGTGGATAAATGTCACACTTACAACATCGAGTGCTCTGGCCAAAGGTTGTTTTGCTTGGTTGAATGGCAGTGTCTAAGATCATCACTTTATATTCCATGGTTCCATATCCTTTGATTCAACTAACCACATCTAGAATATTCAGAAAGAAATTATGTATGTGCTGAATATGTGCAGTCTTTTTTTCTTATCACCCCCCCCCCGTCAATAATACAGTATAGTAACTACTTATATAGTGCTCACATTGTAGGAAACATTATAACTGGTTTAAAGTATGTAAGATGATTGTGTAGGTTCCTTGCAAACACTACACTCCTTAAGGACTTTAGCATCTGAGGACTTTGATGGCTGTGAGGTCCTAAAGCCAGCCGACCACTAGCAAAGGAATGGTTGTACCTGTACCTAGCGATTGATGAATCAATGCTTCGATACACTCAATTTTGTTTTGCTTCCAGTCCACTGCTTAGTCCTGAAGTTGCTTCATTGATGTGAAATTAACATTTTCAGAATCATGTGTGCTTCCCCCAGGGAGAGCGACTACCTGTACATGGATGTGGAAGGGGCAGAAAAGCCCCAGCAAATCAGAAGCGGCTCCTAGCAGGTAGCTCTCTGTGTGTGTAAGGACAGGAGGCAGAGTGTCTTTCATATAAAACATGTGCCACAAGGCCTCTTTGTGGGAACAGGAGAGCCACCTAGGATGGGGAGGAGAGACTTTGCCCCCCCCCCAAAAAAACCAATGTGGTATGAGACACTAAGTCTCACTTGTAATTATCTAAACATTTAGGATCTGAGAACTTTTTAAGAGAGGCCAGTGAATTCAAACATGTCTGTTTTAGGATTTGACACAATAAAGAAAAACAAAACGTGATCACTGCAGGGCCCATCTTGGAAGAAATGTGATTTAGGAAGAAACCCTTTGTCAGCCTAACAAGATGCCCCAAATGTGACATGCAGAACTGGCCAGGATCAGCTTGTGTGGCACAGCCCTGTACCCCCAGACAGCTTGCTAGGTGTTATGGCAGAGTCCAAATGCAGCCGATGCTCCTGGTAGCCAGACAATGGATCTTCATTTCGCCATGACAGTTTTCACCGCCAGAGAGCCTTCTAGAGCGTGCTGACTTACCCTATTTTATCCTGACAAGACGTGGAGTCTTCTTCCTGTTTTGAAGGGAGCAGAGCCCAGAGAATGTATTTTCTTCTCCAAAGTCAGATGGGTAGTCGGCATTGTGGCCAATGCACAAGCTCGGGCTTCTGTTACTTGTACCTTCATGTTGATTATTCTGTTCTTCAGGGTTGCTAATTAAATGATTTGAGTCTTGCAGATTTTTGTCCATTTTCCTGAGAGCCAGCATTAGACATCTCTGGACTATGTTAACCAGGGAATCTAATTAAAACCAAGCTAGTTCTAGAGGGCACGACCGTAGAAACAAGATAGCTAAAATGGAGTGCACACCTCTCTAAACCAGGGGTCTGCTGCAGGTTCTCAGGCTTTCTTCTGAATGGTTAATATGTGGAAGTTTCTTCCTTCCTGCTTAGGAGAGGTACTGGCCCCTACAGATGAACACTGAAAAGAGTGCTAGGGGCCTGGGGGTTAAGGATTTATTCCTGGCTCTGCCACTAATTAGATAATAGCTCTAGGCAAGTCACATAACCTGGTTGGTTCTCAGTTTCCAGGTCTCTAAAATGGGGACATGGGTCCCACCTGCATGCTCTCCTCACACGGCTACAAGGATAACTGGAAACCCTCCTAGGGTTTATGTAGGTTCTGGCTTCAAGGCCTTGGAAAAATGGCATAATATATTCTGAGCCTCAGTTTCTTTATCTGTAAACTGCACAGTGTTTGCTGAGCTGCGTCAGGAAGAAGGGTGTAATGGGGTGGTATGGACAGTTCGCGGTGCAGTGGCCGAACAGTGTTCGTGTGGTTGAAGGAATGTGGCCCAGCTCAAATCTCAGATGCCAAATAGAATCTGCCTCTAGGTAGCCTCCCCCTTTCCCCATGGCTGTTCCTCCACCATGGAGACTCTCCTTCTCTAACGCAGGGGTCCTGACATGCCAGGGGCTTTGCCCATGAAGGTGCTGCTGTAATAGACAGCCTGTGATGATTGCTCCACCTAGCATGGCTGCTTTAGATGTTCCCAATGACTAGGTCGTGTGTTGACCCTGCAGTCATCAGGAAGTGTGAGGGCCTAGTGCTGGGGCAGAATTCAGCATCTCCTACCTGGTTCTCATGACCCAGAGCTGTACCCTCCTGCCTTTCCCACGCCTAAAAGCTTGTGCGCCCTCAACACGTCCCACCCCGATGAATTCAGAATGAAGATGCATAATCTCCCCAAGGACAGGTTGCTGGAGGGTGAGATGGATGGGTACGGTGGTGGGATTCCTAAGAGCTGAAAGTCAGGGAGAGTGGAGGAAGAAAGGATAGACGAGGAAAACGAGGGCAGAGAGGACAAGGAAGCCCAGTTCCCTCGCTTCACAATTTCGCACAGGGTTCTGCTTGACCCTCAGAGTGTTGTATGGTTCTTCCTGCAGTCTGGAATCCAGTGGGTAATCCATCCATCCAGGGATCTGTGTCTGCCAACGGAGTATGCTGTAAAGTCAAAGCAGGGCTTCTGCCTCAAATCTGCAAAGGGGTGAAAGACATGCCAACATTCCAGGAATCCCCAAATAGTGATTTTCTGTTCAGATAACAAGAGGCTCAAAGCCAAAAAAAAAAAAAAAAAAAAAAAGGAAAGCAGCCCCTGGGTTTGGCAACCTCAAAAGGTAAGGTAGAAGGAGCCAGCGGAGCCAGCCTAGAGCTGATTAGATCAAGCCTTGAGAGCTACAAAACACATTGAACATCTTCTACAGAAATAAAAACAAACTTATCTCTTTATTATACAAGTAATATATGTTATTTATAGAAACACAAGAAAACACAGATAATTACTCAGTAGGCCAGGGCTGGGGGAGGGGAGCTCCCTAACTCTATTACTAGGCAGCTCTTCACAATCCCTAATGACTAAGTGCTTGGATTCTGGGGTTGCCCTGCCTAGGGCAGAGTTCAGTTCTCTATTTATCAGCTGGCAGCCACAGGTGAATTATTTAGCCTCTGTGAGCCTGTTTCTCTTCTGAAAATCTGGGATGCTAGTAATGTCTACTCTTGCAGCAAGCTGTGAAGTTTAAAGATGCTAACACGGCACTGTCTAAAATCACAGAGGAAATCTAGCAAACAGTGTAACTGTGATGCTGTGACCATTGTAAGGATGTTTATTATTTACCGTATTTCTAGCTGTTTTGCTGCATAAGAAAACAGAAAGTGTTCCGTGTGATGCACGCATTTTTCTGAGGACACAGTTGTCCTTTGCTGCTGATAGGTTGTCTTTTCATAGAGGGATTGTCCTTATTTTTTGTTTTTAACTATTAAGCTAATGTTGATTGCTTATGGTGGGATGTGCCTGGTGCTAAAGGTTTCACATAAATGACCACATTAATTCCTCATAATAACTGTGAAGTGGGTACCAATGAGGGGATGCTAAGCACCTTCGTAGCTAAAGTGTGGAGTTAGCAGGCAGAGAATTAAGAATTCTGGCCCAGTTGTTCTGACTTGCCTGTGTTAGTACTTGGCATGGACTCTGTATCTTCAGAACCTCCTGAAAGTGGCGGGTTTGAGTGAGAGCGTGTCTTCCTTCTCCCATCCTGCAACAGAGAGGAAAATGAGCAAGAGTCAGTTTGGTAGCACAAGCCAGCAGGGTTTGTACACACTGCACTGCCACACGTTGGCAGTGTGAACTGAGGTGTCTCCACCCCGTGATCTCCTGGTAGGCACCCACGTTGGCAGTGTGAACTGACGTGTGTCCACCCCGTGATCTCCTGGTAGGCACCCACGTTGGCAGTGTAACCAAGGTGTGTCTGCCTCCTGCTCTCCTTGGGATTCACTGGCTTTTTCAATTTCTGCTATAACATCCCTCTCAGATCTGAAACAGGATTGAGTCCTAGGACCGGGCTTTATTTTTACTGACCGCATCCGGGGCTTTGTCAGCACCGTATGTGCTGCTGACCACCGTTTCTTCATCCCTTCCCTTTCCACTATTGGATTTTGACCCCGTCCCCAAGGTCTGTTCATTAATTTAATCAAAAAGTCTTCGCTGAAACCCTATCAACGTGAAGCCCAGTTCTGGTCCTCACAGGAATGTAGGAGAAGGAAGCTGTTTGAGAAGATACCAGCACACACCAGTGCAGAGCCAATAGCAAAAAGCAGCGTGTTTGCCGTTTCAGAATGGGTCAAGGGGAGCACTGACTTTACAGTGGACGGGGCATAAGTGTGACTCTGCCAGGAGTGTGAATAGGGGCATAAGTGTGACTCTGCCAGGAGTGTGAATAGGGGCATAAGTCTGACTCTGCCAGGAGTGTGATGGGCTGGCAGGGATGTTCCGGGGACTAACCCCTTGTTTCTTCATCTAGGAGCAGCTCAGAGCTGAGGAAGGAGAAATCCCGAGATGCTGCAAGGTGCCGGCGCAGCAAGGAGACGGAGGTCTTCTATGAGCTGGCCCATGAGCTGCCCCTGCCTCACAGTGTGAGCTCCCACCTGGACAAAGCCTCCATCATGCGGCTAGCCATCAGCTTCCTGCGAACACACAAGCTCCTGTCCTCAGGTGAGGCTGGCAGGTCCTGCCCGAGGCTGCCACATCCCTAGACCTTACTCACAGGCATATTGCTCTGCCAATGTGCCCCCATAAAGGCCAATGATGGGCCTTTAGTTTACATCAGTTTATCTGGGTGTGAGTTCGTGTGTGTTGGTGTACATGGGGTCAAAGGAGAACTTCTGGGAGCCCATTCTGTTCTGCTCTTCCATCTCTGGGTGCTGGGACTTACACTCAGATCGTCAGGCTTGGCAGCAAGTGCCTCTACCTACTAAGCCGTCTGGTAGCCCTGTTTCTTCATGTCAGCCATCCGCTCTCTGTCAGTGGTGGTATCCTGAGTACACCCACAGAAAGAGGTCAGGGAGAGGCCCAAGCAGGAGTATGAGAGCAGACAACAAACAGCTTAGAGGCCCAGCTCTGCTCCGTCTGGCTGTGAGCCCTGTGCCCTCTGTGGGAAGCCTTTCACTCTCGTCTTCCAGCCACATCTGCGAGGATGTACCATGCGGTCTCTTGGAACCTTGGTTTCTTTGCTTCTAACCTGGAATTATCCATGCCTACTGCGGGATGTATAGGGGGGGTGTATAGGAACTAATGGAGACAGTGGCTTAGCTTCACTCCTTCCTGCTAGGATAGCCCCTTGGTTGATGACAGTGTCAGGCCTCAGTTATCCTCAGCCAGCTGATATAGTCTCCTTTCCCTAGAATCTCTCCGACAACAGTCCATAAAAAATATTTTTTTCCCTTTCCCAGAGTCACATTCTTCAAAAACCATTTCCTGTTAGGCCCCACCAGGAAGAGGCAGCCTGGGATTTCCACTTTCAGATCCTATGTGCAATCTTGTTGAGTTTATCAGTCCTGTAAGGAAATTGGGCAGCATGTAGCGGTGTCTGTGGGCATGAATAAGCAAAGGAGGCAGTCAAGGAGGAACAGAGAATCTCTGGTTCATCTTCGGTTTTCCGAAGTGAGTGTGGCACACTGGAGACGGACTCCTTCTGCCATCCTGTAACGACAAAGCTATTTTAGGAAAGAGCCCCCTGCACAGAGAGGATCCCGTGTAAAGCAGGGAAGTCAGACTGGTCGGTGCTATTCTGGGCCCTGTGTACAGGAAGGATATGTGGGAAAGATCTTTGGAGGATGGAGGAGAGAATGAGGACTCAGAGGACCCAGAGGCTGGAGGCTAAACCTGTGCTGCAAGGTCAGGGCGACTGTGCTGTCGCAGAAGCAAGCGGATCCTGGGGGGGGAAAGCAAGGGCAGACCGCAGGGCAGGAGTGAGCACACAGTTGCTGGTGCAAACGGCAGAGGGGAGCGCGGGTTAAGACCCTGTAAAGCCTGGACTGCCAAATAAAAGGCAGACTGCTGGAGAATCCATCCCAGGCCATGAACGTGCCCTTCTTATACAGAGGTTTGTCCTGTTGGAGACGTGAGAGAGACAGAGGTGATTTGTAGGATTCGCCAGGCAAAGATGTTGATGAGGGCCAGGGAGCCAGTGTCCAAGGGAAGCAGCTGGAGACTGGCCAGGACTAGCCACGAGCAGCGGGTGGACAGGAGGTTCTCAGAGCTGTCTGTGCCTTGCTCTTGTAGCAGGAACACATTGTCTATGCTCGCCCACACAGAAGCCTGGGTGTCTTCCTCACCGGTTGTGGGGTTGACTTGCTGAGGTCTCGGGTAGCATTGGATCTTCTGAGCAGATCTGTCTTCACATGGCCTGGTGCAACCCCTCCTACACTTCGTGTGCTCCATGAAGCCACAGATGCAACGCCAGATACCGCACATCCCAGCTCAGGAGCTCTGAGTGTTGACAAGGACTGCCTACCCTCTAGACAGTCCGAGCATGGACAGACCAGAGCTCTCGGCACATCAGTTCCAAGACTCTCTGTCCCGAAGAAAGAGAAGTTAGAAAATGATTTTTAAAAAAGTTTCTACTTTTGGTCATCTGGTCCTGGTGACCTTGAAGGAGACGTTCTCATAATGAGCACACTCAGGGAAGGAAGTGATGACTTAGCTCTCCTTTTCCTCTTCCATTTCTCAAAGGTTCCTACCGGGCATTCTCTGGACCAGTTGCAGAAACTGTTTTCAGAAGTAGAATGCAAAACAACCTTTTTCCTCCCCTGCCCTCCCATTTGTTTTAGTGTGTACAAGCGCAATTTCGCAGAGGACGGAGGAGGATGCTAGGGTCTGGCTCTATGGCTTCCACCTCCTCACTCTGAGTCAGCATCGCTCATTCAACCCAAAGCTCACTCTTTTGGCTCAGCTGGCTGGCCAGCACACTCCCAGGTCTCCCTACATCTGCCCCTCAGCTCTGGGGTTGTAGGCACACAGCCAAGCTCAGCTTTTGCATGAACACTGGGGATTCAAACGCCAACCTTCATGCTTGTGAGCAAGTGTCTTTATATGTTTCACCACTTCCCCGGGGCCTTCTTTGTCTTGTCATTTGAAAGTATTGTTTTGTTTGGGTTTTTGTTTTTCCTGTGTAGTTCTGGTTACTCTGGAACTCACTTTGTGGACTGGCCTGGCCTTGAACTGTCTCTGCCTCCTGAGTGCTGGAATCAAAGGCATGCACTGCCATGCCCAGCTAAATGATTGTTTTAAAATTTAACTTATTTGTGTGTGTGTGTGTGTGTGTGTGTGAAGATAACTTTTGGAAGTTGGCTCTCTCTCCCCACCATGGATTCTAGGGATCTAACTCACACTGCTGAACCATTTTGTCAGAGATTTTATATTTCGCTTTGTTTTTTCTACATGACTAAAAGATTGCAGGATGTTCGAGCAGATATCCTTTTGCATTTGGAGTGTGGCTGTCATCTCTGGGCCTTAGTTTCTTTAGAACTTGGAGGGAATGATATTCACTTGCACCACTGTTAGATGATATGAAAGACCCTCATCTCTCGCCTGCTATACATGTTATAGCTTAGAAATAATTGCAAGAAAAGAAAGTGTTGATCTTTTGGAGAAAGGTAAAAGAAAAACCAGGGTGAAGCTAATGTCCTTGGACATTACATATACTTTCCCAAGTCAAACTGCAAACTCATTATCTCAGTAAGTTGAGGTTGTAGACCTCAGAGTTCAAATGGCTAAAAACTACCAGGTTTGGCATTAGCATTTCTTCTTTACTTAGTAACACACTTCCCTTTGATTTTCACAGTAGGCTGTTGTGTGTGGGAATGTTGGAGAGGAAGCCTTGACACTGAGAGATCCAGGCTGTGAGTCGGGGCCGCAGTTGAGATCCGTATCGCAGGAAGCAAACTGGAACAATAGCTTTATGATGCTCTCTCCCATGCTGGCTGAGGACAGAGCACATTCTGGCGGGAACATGAGTGGAAACATTACTTGATTGTCTTAAATGCTCTTTCAAGACAAGCCCTGCACTCTGGGCCTGAAGGAGAGCTTTAGACCTCAGTAAATGTGCAATGGGCTTTTACTCTTAAAACCGCTGTGAGCCCTTAACCCAGATTCACGCCTGGTGAAATTCAAATTCTCTTTATAATAGAGTTCGAGATCAACTCAAAGCTGGGTTTCTAGAGAGAAATATCAGGCTTATTTTGGATTCCTGGCGTTTGCCTAGTGAAGGCACATAGTCTTCGCAGGAGGTGATGTCGGGAAAGACGTTAAAACTCAGGAGATGTGATTTTAAAGTTTTCAGCATGACCTTTCCGCAGGAAACATAAGACAAGGGGGACAAAACTATGGCAGTAGAAATGGTTTCCGTGTCCTCTATGTCTCATGGTCAGACCTAGTTCCCTGGTTTTCATCCCAATTGTTTTACTGTCCCCCTCCCTTGCTCCACCTATACTCCAAAGCAAGGCCTTTTCTGTCCTGTATGGAAGAGAGCCAGAAAGCTGATTCTTGCCAGGTTGTTACTGACGGAGACAGCCAGCAGCTCCTTCAAGAAATGCCAATCCTGTTCACAACATTCTCTAAAACAAACAGCCTGATTAATCAGTGGGTATCAACTGATGGAGCCCCGTATAGCATTTTGTGGAGGCTCACACAGAGAGGGAAGATGGGACGAGCAGATATGGAAAGAACAAGATAAAAATCTCCAATGCTGGACTTCTGGGAGTCCAGCAAGATCGGGTGAGATCTATTCCCCTGCCAAAAGTCTGAGATAGCCCAAGCCTGCCCAGTTGGGTATAAGATACCATGTAGTAAGCGGCTCACACTCAGTTCCTGTGGCTTGTGGGGACTGGATTTGCTGTCAGTGTACCTGGGAGGCGTGGGCTCTGTGGCAGTGCTGGGAGGGGAGTAGCTCCTAGGCAAAGCTTTTGAAAGGAACGACCCTGCAGAGAGGACTGAGCTCCAAGCCCTCCTGGAGCAGGAAGCCTGTAGCTGACCTTGTTAGGAACAGGTCAAGCTGTCCCGGAGTTTATGGAAGAAGGAAGTGCTGAGACAAATAACCCTGGTAAGTAAGACCGTAGCCAGCATCCTGGCCAGCATCACTGCTGGCACAGTTGAGCTTCGGAGACCCAGTCAGAAGCTGCCTGCTCTGCCACCTGCCAGTTTCCCTGAGACAGCCAGCTCCTGGTGTGCCACCCACCAACATGGGTGGTGCTGCCTTGAAGGAAATGAGCGGTGCTCCGGAAAAGGTGCTCCAGAGCCTCCTCAGCGGCGCATATCCTGGCTGGGGGAGTCATCAAAGCCTGTTTACCAGGGCTATTTTTAGCATTAAAGAATCTTGTTGTGCTCCCTAGATGACCGTGCTCCTTCTCCGCGGAGGTGGCTGGTCTGTATACCACCGTCCTTCTTTGAGGTTTGAACCCTGGCAGGTCTTGGGAAGCAAGTGACCAGGAGGTGGAACCCAAGATAATGAAAGTGAGCACCTACTTTATTTTGTACCAATGGCTTACTCTCCATCAATGTCCCCAAGAGGGGTTTAGACTCCTTTCAGCAGACGGCTTCCCTGGAAGTCTGTTGATCCTGAAGGGGTGGGATTACCCGCATCCTTTCGGTACCCCCAGTGCTCTGCAGAACAGCACGGAGTGTGTAAAGGGAGGCATTTCCTCGGGCCCAGAACAGACAGAATAAACTCGCAGTAACTGCGCCACGAGCACCTCTTTCCCTGTGCCCAGCACATGCCCAGTGGTATCTAGGGAGGCTTGATGTGTTTGGTGGTAAGGACAGCAGTTTTCGGCCAGGATCTGACATGAGGCTCAGGGCGCGAGAGCAGGGACGTCTGCCTTCCTTGTCCAGGCTGGGAGTGACTTGGCTAAGTTCCTTCAGAGACTCTCGAGAGGATAAGCGGGTGCTGCAAGTGCAAATAGTTCCATTGAAGGAAGAGGCCACGCCCAGGCCTGGCCGCCCCTGGGTTCCGGGGAAGGGGGGGGCTGCTGGTGTCCTTGACCCTGCAGCCCTAGTGACTTCAGTCTCAAGACTGTTTCCGGGGGGCCCCAGAGTACCTCCTTCCCTCCAAAGACAGTCAACCCGCCACTGTGGCCAAGCTCGCCACCTCCTGGGAGAAGGCAGACTGGATGCCATGGAAAGCCGCTTGGCTGTGCTCGCTAGGCCTGTTAAAGACAGGAAACTTTAAGCAGAGTTGTTTTCTCTGGGCCTAGTTAACCCAAATAGGGTGTCTTGGGATTACTCCGGATTTTGAAGTCAGTGCTACCACTAGGATAAGAGAAACAGAAGAGCAAATCGCTTGTTACTGGGCTTCAGGGCTGTCTCTGCTTGTCTGGAGAAAGTGGTCATCGAGTTAGTGTAACCCAAATGCAGCTTGCCCATCTCTGTGCCCACTTCCTAGGTCAGGTACCCTGCCCAGAGTGGCTGGTTTTCTCTACACACGGGCTAGTAATTAACCTGGAGTCCAGACAGTCTGCAGCATGTGCTTCCTGGAGCAACAACTTTGATTGACACCTTCTGAAAAAAAAAAAAAAAGAGGAAGAAGAGAAAAGCACATTCCCAGCTCCCCTGGATTATGAAGGAAGCCGCGGGTAGACCCCTCTAGCTCCATCCTGGGTGGGGTGTAGTCTCTTTCAATTATTCTGCGTGCTGTTCACTGAGATGCCACCTCTGTGCCCCTTGGGCGGGAAGAGGGGGGGGTCCCTTCAGAATGCCGGCTTTCTTTACTTGCACAGTCTGTAATACTGGGAGATGCACCTTCTGCCTCCAGGTGGGCTCTCTCAGTACTGGGAGGAAGCCTGACTCATGCATTTTGGAACAGCAGCCCAATCTCATCCAGACTGACAAGCCTCTCTTTCCATCCTAATGTGAACTCTGTCTCCTGAGCCTTCTCAACCCTGCTTCTTTGGAAGGCACACCTCTGACCACCGCAAACTAACTCTCCTCCACTGAGCCCCACAGCACTTGCTCTCTGTACCCCGACTTGGGTGCCCCACTGTATCACGTGCAAGTGTATATTTAGCATTGTGAGATATGTACTGTGAATTCTCCACCTTGGCTCTGAACAATTTGAGGGTCGTGGCAATGTCTTAGAGGGAGTCGTTGGGGTAAAGAGTTCACAATTGTTGATACCAAGAAGATGGAAGCCACTATTCCAGTTTTGCTGATGAGGACACTGGAGTTCAAACAGTTGTTACCCAGAGTCATCACCTATTGGGAGACAGATCTAGGAATAGAAGCAATATTTGACTCCAAAGCCTACAAGAGGGTTGAACATAGCCACTGCCTAGAGCCCCTGGGGCTTGCTAACTTCCTAGACTTCACAACCTTTGGCAAACAGCTTAACTCTTGCTAGTCTAGCTCTGTAAAATGAGAATAGGAATGGTTCCTATGTCATGAATCATTGTGATGCCTATGTTCAGTGCAGGGTCTGTCTGCAGTTATTGCTCCACATATATTAGCAGCTAAAATATCTCTAGTCTTTAGTACCACCATTGCTACTGATACCGCAAGTACCGTTATGACAATAACCACGCTACCCCCAAATCACTATCAGCGTGTTCTGCGTGTTTCATCTAGTGCCCACTCATTGGGCATGTGACAGACACTTAGTTGGCAGTATGCATTTCCCAAGAAGTCCACCCTGTACCCCGGAGCCACGCCTGGCGGGCCTCTACCCCTTCAGTTGTGTCTGTTTGAACACCACACTCATGCACGTTGTCTGTCCCTCTCTTTCCAGTCTGTTCTGAGAATGAGTCTGAAGCTGAGGCTGACCAGCAGATGGATAACTTGTACCTGAAGGCCTTGGAGGGTTTCATTGCTGTGGTGACCCAAGACGGTGATATGATCTTCCTGTCGGAAAATATCAGCAAGTTCATGGGACTTACCCAGGTGACACCCTCCTCTGCCCCATTCAAAAGGGATCAATGTCTTCATGTGGGGGATAGAAGCTAATGGGTGGTCCTGGCCACCATCTCTCTTGAGTTCTCCTTTCACGTGCCCGTCCTGTTGATTACAGTTCTTGGGCCACAAGCCTTAGGAGCATGTTCCCAGTGGCATGGGGCTTGACATTGCTTGTGGCCATCCTAGCTGATCTATTATAGCTAGACTAACATGGCGACCCTTATGAATCAAGTCCCTGTCACCAGCAATAGTGATCTGGTATCTGTAAGTCCACGGACCTAACATTGGCCAGAGACTGTCAGTGACCATTCAATTCAGTTTTCTCCCTGCCTCCAAATCTAGAAGTTATCCCAGCTTCCTTCTTGGAATCTGACCTCATTGTTAGGAGTGACTAATTCTGACCTTGCTTTTAAAACAGGTAGAACTAACAGGACACAGTATCTTTGACTTCACTCATCCTTGTGACCACGAGGAGATCCGTGAGAACCTGACTCTCAAAAATGGTAACGTGTTCTTCTATGTTTATGTTCTTCTTGTGATCCCCACCCCCAAACCTACACGTATAGGCCAGATGGATTATGCTCTGGTACCAGGAAAACTGACATCCGTAAGTTCCAGTTGGACTAGCTCTTGGGTGGATATGCAGAGTTGAGATTATATGACCCAGGACTCAGAAAAGCTCTTGGTGGCCATACATGACACCTGATGTCATACTACCAGGGTACTCCTTCAGGTCAGGGTGCCATCGCTAGGAGATTTCATCACCTGAGATCAATTATCTCTGCCATGTGACGCCACCCAAACCAGTAACTTCATCTGTGCCAGGTTATTTATGGGAAATGCTACACATGTCTTTTGTTATGTATCAAACCAACCGAAGCACAGGCTTGAGCAATCTCCCAAGTTCCTGTGGGTTCTGTGGGTGGGTCTCTTGCTTTATATGACATCAGCTGGGTTGCAGTCATGAGAGGCTGGACTAGGCTGGAGTGATCAAAATGGCTCACCTGCGGCTTGTAGCTAGGGCACAAGTGACCACAGCTTACTCTGGAGTGTCACAGTAGCCTGCTTCGTAAGGGGGCTCTAGAATAGCTGTCTTCCATGGCAGCTCAGGACCGTGCACTCCTCTTTCCCCTGCAAACTGCGATAGGAGAAGCGGACAGACCTTCCCAGGACTAAGTCCAGAAACCGGGCCATCATCACCTCTGCCCCTATTTTGCTGGTGAATGCAAGGTTCAGGCCTATCTTGGCTGGGTGAGTGTCAGGAGACATGGCCCTTAGGATCACCACTAAAGACTACTATTATAGGAGTCATGAAGTGAATGGACCTGTGGCAATGAGATTGGGCCAGCAAAGTTTGGTGGAGAAGATTTTAAAGCTCCATTATTATACTAGCCAGGGCCAGTGGGTATGAGGATCATACAGACAGAAGGCACTTGGTTCATCCCTAGTAAAATTCCAAAAAAAAAAGGCATGAATGGGGATCTTCAGAAGAATTAAATTTGGGGGGCTGGAGAGATGACCCAGTGGTTAAGAGCACAGGCTGCTCCCCTAGAGAACCTGAGTGTGCCTCCCAGCTCCCATGTCCAGTGGCTCACAGCTGCCTGTAGCTCCAGCTCCAGGAGATCAAGTGGCCTCTTCTGGCCTCTGTGGGCATTTGCACAAATGTGCACACAAACACACAGGTAAAAGTACAGTAAAATCTTTAAAAACCAAACAGAGTCATAGCTGTAGGTAGCAGTGGCGCCCAGTGACTGCCAAGATCCTCTCCAAACTCGAGCACCTATCGCTGGTCTGGACAGACTGCCCATCAAGACATCCTCCTTCTCACCTCTCGCCTGTCACTACCATGGGGCGTGTGCTCATCCAACCTGAATAACAAAGGCAGGGATACCACACCTGCAAGGTTTTCTCATCACCATGCGTGCTGCAAAAGCCAGTGTTTGTTGGCTTACCTCTGCTGTTGGTACAGAGTGCTGTAATCTTCACTTGGGCTTACAGAGCTTTGTAGAATTATAGCCTCCTCCCTTTGCAGTGATGCCCAACCTCTCACCTGGATCACTGCTTGCTTGCTTTCTTGGGTTTTCTGTTTGTTTGTTTTGTTTTGTTTTGTTTTTGTTTTGAGACAGGGTTTCTCTGTGTATCTTGTATCTTTCGTGCCTGTCCTGGAACTAACTCTTGTAGACCAGGCTGGCCTTGAACTCACATCTCACTCTGCATCCCTGAGTGCTGGGATTCAAGGCCCGGCTTGGATCACTGCTTTCTATCCAAAGGCCTAGCCCAGCTGGCTCCCAGAGTGCACAGGCTAGGGACCAACCATGAGTTTATTTAATGTCTTGTCTGTGCTGGTGAGAAATTCTAGGCTGTATAGAATGATTGGTTCTTTATGATGAAGGGGCTGTCAATATAGCCTTTTCTTTCTCTTCCTCCTTCCCTGAGATAGGATCTTACAGAGTAGCCCAGGCTGGCCTCAAACCGGTAATACTCCCTCTCAAATCCTGAGATTACCCAACATACCTGGGATTCAGAATTACTTTCTTTTTAAACTTTTATTGATTCTTTGTGGATTTCACATCCCACTTATCTCCCCACGACTCTCCCAATCAAAACCAAATTTAAAAGAAAAACCAAACAAAGAAACAAAACAAAACAAAAACAAAAATCTTGTCATAGAAGCTGTAGTGTGGCCCTTTGAGACACACAGTTTCTGCTCTGGTCTGCTCATCTTTGCTCATAGGTGCTCAGAAGCACTTTCTAAGGGGCTGGCTCTCTCTGCTTTCCTGGAGAACTCCTGGCCCTGGGCTCTTGATCTCAGTTCAGTACTAACCGGAGTCTCGGTTTGATTCTGTGAGCTGTACTAAGTGGCTCACTCCTAGGCTGTTGGGTTTCTTTCTTTTTAAATCAATGGCAGATACGAGGCTGAGGCCGGAACTTTCTAGCTTTCATAGGTGCTGGCTCACAGCTAAGCGCCTTTCTGCTCATTGATTCATGAATGGGATTTGGAATCAGTCAAACTCAGAGAATCAGCAAGTCCTCACTGAAGGTTTCAGTCTGCATAGACTCCATTCGTGATCTAAAAACAAAGGGTCAGGGTAGATTCCTGGAGGAAGAAAAGATCAGGAGACGGGCTATGGAATGTTCACTGGGGAGGTGTAAGGCCTTAAACATTGTCCAGCAGACAGTTGGGAGCTAGTTCCTTCATTCCTAAGTCCTGGGGCTCCCCCAGTACAGTTACATTCATCATATACAAACCCTCCTAAAACTAAAATTATAAGAAACATAATTTTGGGAGAAACAGTTTATCAGAACAACTTTCAATCTGTCACTTAGTGAGTTCCCAAAAGATATTTAAGGCCAGTTCAAGGATCTTGATTCTTTGGATACACAGGTCTTCCAAACTATGTCAGTCAAATAAATCAGGTTTCTCCGAGGTCTGGGTGCGGAAGTTGGCAGCTTCTCTTGGAAAGAGCAGTGTGGCTATCTGAAGGAAGGCTCTAGATTACTCTGTGATGCTGGGCCCGGGAAGGCCCAGAATGGAGATGGCAGTCTTTAGACACACCTGGCCTTGTGTTTACCACTCTGCGTAACAAGAAGCAGAAAAACTGGGCAGGCATTAGGGACTTGTACAAAGAAAGACTCTGTACGTTCTTTGTCTTAGTGATTTATTTAATCCTGGATGAAAGGTGATCTAATTGATCTTTGTCAAGAACATCTTTAAGATAGACTTGTCTACCCAGTTCCAGTTAAAAGAAGGGGTGTGTGTGTGAGTGTGTGTGTGTGTGTGTGTGAGAGAGAGAGAGAGACAGAGACAGAGACAGAGAGAGAGAGAGACAGAGAGAGAGTATGTGTGAGAAAGAGAGTATATGTGTGTGTGCATGTGAGTGTGTATTTGTGAATGTGTGAGTGTATGTATATGTATGTGTTCATTTTCCTCCCCTCCTTGACACATGTCACCTTAAGGAGAAAACTGATTCAGAACACAGTGGTCCTAGGATACAGATTGTTCACGTTCCTGAGAGACGGGTTAGGAAGAGCAGACAGGAATGTCCACAAAGGGAGTAGCCATGGTCTCCCTTAACTAGAGGACCAGGCCTGCCTCATGCTGAGACTGGTCAGAGCCTCGCTACTCTCAGGTGACAAACCCGAGTGCACTAAATGACTGCATGCTGTGTGCTGTAGGTACCAAATGATGGGGCAGTGCCCGCCTCGGATGTTCGTGTTCCCAGTGATACAGTAACACAGGAGCTTCTACTCAGCCTTCCTCAGGCCCAGCACCTCTCTCTCCAACACGAACATCAAAGGCATCTGGTTTCTGCAGGAGAGCAGCTCTGCCTTCCAGCAGGCCCTCCATTCTGAGTCTCCACGGACCTGGTGTTAGCCATCGAGCCCTGAGTGGCCATAACTAGAAGTTTTGTAAAACGCTTCCTTGACATATTTCTGTCCTCTAGTTCTGACCATAATCCAGCCAGGATTTAGGGTGCAGCCACTGAGGTACCATTAGTCTTTAGGCATGAAGGACTTTGTGTCCATGGCAGTCGGCAACACTAACCTACAAGCTTCTAGGAAGCATGGCTACAAGTAGTCTGAAAACATTGTGATTTGAACTAACGCGACTGGTTCCCACACCCTTCCCCACTCAGGTTCTGGCTTTGGGAAGAAAAGCAAAGATATGTCTACCGAGCGCGACTTCTTCATGAGGATGAAGTGCACAGTGACCAACAGAGGCCGGACTGTCAACCTCAAGTCGGCCACCTGGAAGGTGGGTCGTTAGCTGTGGGTTGGAGACTTTGGTATTCTGTAGCCTGGGAGCTGGGGGTGCCTAAAGCCCTAGCCCGTCTTCAGCACGCTCAGACATTTCTGCCTCCCGTTGCTTGTCCCCAGGTCTTGCACTGCACTGGACAAGTGAGAGTCTACAACAACTGCCCCCCTCACAGTAGCCTCTGTGGCTACAAGGAGCCCCTGCTGTCATGCCTCATCATCATGTGTGAGCCGATCCAGCACCCATCCCACATGGACATCCCCTTGGACAGTAAGACTTTCTTGAGCCGCCACAGCATGGACATGAAGTTCACCTACTGTGATGACAGGTGCGGCCTTGAGAATGTGTGGCGTGAGCAGGGAGAGGGTGGGTCTTAACCTGAGTGTCTCCGTGTGTGAGAGTGAACCTACAGGGCACGGAAATTGGACCTGAGTGTCTTATCGCTGGATGCAAGTTTCTAGACTTATGTCGTTTTACCAGTCCTACTCAGAGGTCCCTAGCATCATAGTGTGAAGTCTCCCATTGACATAGCCTGAGGGTCTGTCTTTAGAGCTGTTCTGGTGTGTTTGATGTTATTATCATGGTATGTGCATATTTGTTCACTTATGTATCTAGTTCCAGGAGAAATTTTCAAGGGCAGTTTCTTGTCCCATATGACAAGAGTCTAGAAGAAATTATCTAAGTATTCTGATTCAAAGGCTAACCAGAAGTGTAGGGTTCTGGCCAGAATACTGACCCACTTTAGTTGACTTTCTCCAGTTCTTTTCCGTGACTGACAGGTTTCACTCAGCCTTTACCCCTGCTATGTACAGACTCATTCTATGCAGCTAGCTATCTTGTGAAGACTTTAAGTAAAGTGAGATGGGCTGAACTCTAGTCCCTTATTTGAAGACAACTGGACATTCTTTTGGGGGGACCCAGAAGTGATAAAGAGTGTGGATTTGGACTAGACAGCCTAGGCCCTGATGTATTTATATATCATCAGTGTAAGCTCTTGTTCTCACCTTTATTAAAGTTGGGATACACTGAAGGCTGCGCAAGGAAGGCAGTTTCTTACCCCATCCTGTCCTGCTACTGGGATCTAGATGTGAAGGCAAAAGACAGAACAGATTGCAGTGAGCAGTGGCTTGCACCAAGGGAAGGAAAGCCCAGTGAGGAACTGGGCTTGGTTATACCTAGCCTGAGTAAATGGCACCACCATGCCCGACTACCTTACCCAGCAAGACCTCAACTCTGTAGTGCCCCAAGTCAACTTTGTGTTACCTGAAACTCTAGGTCACTCCTTCTGAAGTGAACGGTTTGTTCTTGGTGTATTTCATGGGGTCATTGTGAGAACTGGGTCACTCCTACTGAAGTGAACGATTTGTTCTTGATATATTTCATAGGGTCACTGTGAGAAGAGGTCAAGAGAAGCACAGTGCTATTCCATAGCATGAGGAGGCTGAGTCTCAGCTCATACCCATCCCTGGCCTCCCCAAAGCAAAGATTTTTTTCCTGAGCTCAAGGCAATGAGTTTGCTTCTGAAAGCCTGTGGCCCACACAAGCAAACCTGGTATTCTTATCAGGAGGCCTCCATGGCCCAAGACAGAAAAGGGGGAAGTGTTGTGGGAATTCATTCCAGCCTTAAGGTGTGGCTTCTTGTCTGAGGACGAGTGATGTCTTTAAAGGAGAGAGAGAAGTGGCGTGCTCTCTTGGGTTGTGGAGCTGGAGTAAGGCTGAGTAAAGCGACATATTCTCCAGCTATGGCTGAATGGATTCCCACAACACCGGAAGTTTCTACCAGTCTCAGGCCCAGTTCCTCTCTTTCCCAGCTAGACATCTAAGGGCGTCTGAGTCTTACAGGGGAACATTTCTGCTTTCTAGATTAAGCGTATATTCTTCACTCTGAATCTAGATGGGCCTGCTCTTCATCTCGTGATTGGCTATCGCTTACAGCCCCATTTCAGAAGTGATGTAAAAGAATTCTTGCATATTCCTGGGTCCTCGGTCTGACTACAACGGAGTTAGAACTCAAGGCAGTGGGAGGCAGTGTTTATTAAGTAAGTTTATTGTTAAGTGATTAGGAGAGGGAGGGAAAGCTGAACTCCGTCCGTCAGTACAGATGGTCATTTGAGTGTTGCCACTGCTGTTAGGGTGGTGGTCCCTGGACCCTGTTCAGGAGACGGTTGTGCATCACAAGTATCCTAGCATCCACATGAGCATTCTGAGCAGAAGACAGCTCTCAGCAGTCTTCTCAGATACCCTGAGAAGTCCCAATGCCTGATGCGTGTCACCAGCTTTGAAATGACATGGGACCCTTATCCAGCCACCTGGAAGTGGCCAGGGCTGTGGGTAATGAACATTGAAGTCATCTCTGAATAGATCTCAGCCATCACCAAGCTCATGAGCAGGGAAAGCCCTGCTGGCCTCAAATCACTTGCCACCTATAGATAACAGAAAAGATTTTAAAAAGGGAACCCTCAGACACTGATTCTTTATTTATTTATTTATTTATTGGTTTTTCGAGACAGGGTTTCTCTGTGGCTTTGGTGCCTGTCCCGGAACTAGCTCTTGTAGACCAGGCTGGCCTCGAACTCCCAGAGATCCGCCTGCCTCTGCCTCCCGAATGCTGGGATTAAAGGTGTGTGCCACCACCACCCAGTGATGTTGATATTTTTAAGATGAGGGAAATATTCCATGGAAAGTTAGTTCGATGCTAATCTGTTCATTCACTATTGTGGTTTGAATGGGTTTCAGGTAAAAAACACTTGCCCTGGGTTAAAGGAAGGAGAGAATGTCACAGAAAATGGGCACCTAACGGCACTGAAGATACCATGTACAAAGAAAGGAGAGGGGCACAGTGGTAACTTCTTCAGTCTGGCTTAGGACTGACAGGCAGAGTAGACACTCGCTTGAAGGATCCTATGATTTAGGGCCTTATGACTCATCGTGGAGAGAGAGATGCTGCTTATGATGTCTAAGGACACACTCTATTTCCGGCATAACCTTGCCTTTCAAGGAACCTGATGGCAAGGCCCTGGCCCAAAACACACAGTTCTGCTGTGCTGGAGAGATGATGGCAGGATGCAAACACAGAGTGCTGTGCCACATGGAGCGTTAACTGATTAGCGGATTAGGTAACCAGGGTACAGGCATGACAGTTGACGAAGGGACTATTTTAAGTGTTTAATCCCTCAGTGTTATTTCTCCATTGCTTTGGGTTGGAGGAGGGGCTAGTTCTGTTCTCACTATGTTGAGAGATGGTGAGCAGTGTGTGTGTGTGAGAGAGAGCTGCTCCAAACCCAGCAGCTACACATGATGACCAGTGCAGGGCAGGGCTCCCCCCCCCCTTTACCCAGAGACAAGAAAGTCAGGCAGCTTGAATCCACAGTCACATTTGAGGCAGTTTGGTACTTTCCTTTGATGGTGTCTGTGGTCTTCAAACATTTAATAAGAGAAAAGGGGGGGGTCATAGAAAGGGAAGAGAGACAGCACAGGAGTCTCTAATCACTTGTTGAGCTCTCTGGTTTCCACAATCAGTCAATTTAAAACAACCAATTCTGATGCCCCTGTGGTTCAAGACACATTTATGCTCCCCTGGGGGGGTGCGCTTGATATTCTCTATTAATTATTTGAGACAGTAAATACTTTAAAACCGTCCAATAACTTCTGTCAGTTATGTACAGACAAGTCATGACTGAGACATTATTGCTTATCTGAAAAGCTTGGAACCAAACATGTTTCAGCTTTGAGAGTTTGGGGAAATTATTGTGTAGACTTTCCTAACTCAACCTGGAAATTCAAAATCCAAAGTGGTCTAGAACCTAAAACTTTTCAGATGTCATGTTGCGAGATGGGTACATCCGCTTTGACAGGTGAAGGGTGTGCAATCTGTTTATGACTGACTGTTGGCACCCAGACAATAAGATGTAAAGTTGCTTAGCCAGGTCCTTCCCTCCAGCACCCACCCTCCCAAGGATGGCCTGCAGTTTGCAGCAATCCTCCTGCTCCAGGATCCTGAGTGCTAGGGATGTCTTTATTGTCAGCATAATTGATGTTCTTCTCCTCTGTGCACTCAAATATAAGTTATTCATCTGCTTCTTGAAATACTAGGGAACTAATTCATGTGTCTAAATACTAGGGAACATCTGCCATGTGTCTAAACTATTATATCAAAGAAGGAAGAAATGATCCCTGGTAACTAAGAGTTCTGAGCCTGAGATACAAGAAGCCTAATGAAACCACAGTGAGTTCCACTCTTCCAAGGAAGATTTTCAAATCCTTTAAAGGGGTCAGGTTTTTTTAATTCATGTGGAGATGCCATCTAGTGGCCAAGTAAAATAACTGTGAAGAAAGCCAATTCATCAAGACTAGAGGTTTTCTTGGAAAAATCACATGTAGACCTGTGTGATTTTTTTGTGAGTCTTCCCGTGTACTGGGTAGTTTTGTGTGTCAACTTGACATGAGCTAGAATCGTCAGAGAGGAAGGAGCCTCCGTTGAGGAAATACCTCCATGAGATCCGACTGTAAGGCATTTTCTCAATTAGTGATTGATCACCATGGTGGGTGGTGCCATCCCTGAGCTGCTGGTCCTCAGTTCTCTAAGAAAGCAGGCTGAGCAAGCCATGGGAAGCAAACCAGTAAGCAGCACCCCTCATGGCCTCTGCATCAGCTCCTGCCTCTGGGATCTTGCCCTGTTTGAGTTCCTGTCCTGACTTTCTTCAGCAATGCTAGAGCATAAGCCAAATAAACCCTTTCCTCCCCAACTTGCTTTTCAGTCATAGTGTTTTTCACAGCAATAGAAACACCAGACAGATATATGAAACCTTGGAAAGGTATATGAAAATTATAGTAAACATTTGAAACTAATGAATACAACCATTTGGTCTTTACAGGCAAGGAATTTGAGAGCAACCCTGTTTTGTGAAAACAATATAGGACATAACCAGGCGTTAGCTTAGCAAATTAGGAAGACTTTATGGTAAGGGGCTGAAGTGATGGCTCAGTAGTTAAGGGTGCCTACTGCTCTTGCAGAGAACCTGAATGTTAGGTCTGTCTGTCTGTCCCCATCCCACACTGCCCCACCCAGACACACATATAATTACAGCTACTTGTAACTCCACTTACAAGGGAATCCAACCTCTGGCACCTGTACTCACTTGTATACATACATGCATACACACACAGTTAAAATAAACCTTTGCGGGAAAGATTTATGGTGAATTCATTTTATTCAAAGACCTTAGGAGCAATAAGAATGAAGTAGAAAAGAGATGAGGCTCAGGGAGAGAAGCTGGTGAGATGGCTCAGCCAAGAGGCATCTGTTGCCAAGCCTGAGAGCCTGAGTTT